AAACGGACAGGTTAATTAGTGTATTACAGTCAGCCCTGTTCTTGTTGGAGACCTGTACATACAGATTGAGTGAAACGGACAGATTAATTAATGTATTACAGTCTGCCCTGTTCTTGTTGGAGACCTGTACATACAGACTGAGTGAAACGGACAGATTAATTAGTGTATTACAGTCAGCCCTGTTCTTGTTGGAGACCTGTACATACAGACTGAGTGAAACGGACAGATTAATTAGTGTATTACAGTCTGCCCTGTTCTTGTTGGAGACCTGTACATACAGAATGAGTGAAACGGACAGATTAATCAGTGTATTACAGTCTGCCCTGTTCTTGTTGGTGACCTGTAATCGGTGTATTTCAGTCAGTCCTGCTGTTCATGATATCTTAAGATTGGATGGATGGGTTTTAACCAAACTTATTTAACATGTACAACATACAGTGTTCTGGACCTGAAACTTTTGAAGGTAAGAGGTCAAGGCCAAAGTGGAGGCAGAGATATTTCATAAACACAACTTGCAATGGTTTTTGTTTTTTTGTGAAATCGCAGACACCAGTAGACCAGTTTGTAGAATATTTGATTTTATATTCATCCTAGAATAAGAATAAACAAGTTTGTTTGTTTTTGCATGTCACTGAAAGTATTCGCTATACATGTACTAATGAACCCGTGCGTCTATGGCCCACATTTACAGGAACGTTATAATGCAAATTTAATGCTTGAACTACCATTTTACACTTTTTCAGTTTAATGGTCATTGCCGCTATAATGCAAATTTAATTTCTTTAACCAAGTTACAAACGGTAATTTGTAGGCCTACTTATTTACGTGCCCTAATATAAATCAATGTCAAATTTGAGGCCCGCTTTCGGTGAATCCCCGTAAAAGTGCTTTCGCGGAGAAGAGGTTTTCAGAATATCCCTCCGGTTCCCCAAGGGATTAGATTAAAAGTTTTACCTTTGTGCAAACCTCGGGACCGAGACGATTCGCCTGGTACCACTGAGAAGCCAGTGCGACAAGCGGCTTTAAGAGGCGTTACTTGACATACACTGTATCTTATTATACAGATACAACTTTGTTGTGAAACATTGCCGACTAAACATGAGAGCATGACACACGCTCGTTTATAAACAGATTCATCAGCTTATGTTTTCTATTGTTATATATATATAATTTCACATTCCGTCTTTCCTTGTATGTTCTAATATGAATACCCCTGCCTTTCACCTTTATTAACTTAGATGCTGGTAGATATCTATACCGGATGTCCGAGTGACAATAAGTGTACAGGGATGACCTTGAGTACTGAACTGTGAAATGTTTTATTGTTTTTCCTTATGTACAACCCTTTGAAACAAAATGAATAGAACGGATATGATTGAGCTATGATTCGCCGTGGTGGCCTTGATACAAACGTTGTAACTCGTCGCTAATGAAAGCGAGTCTTGTTAAATAATTTTGTTTGTCTTGCAGAGAAGCAGCAAATTCCGAGTAGTAAAGTTTTGTCACTTAACAGTCTGTCGTCGACACGTTAATTTATACGATAGTTTCTAGGCTTAAGTGTTTGAGCATAAGGCATGTTTCGTAAAGTCTGATAACAAAAAACACTGCTATAGGTATGTCAGCTTGTGTTATTATGAATGATTGAATACTTGGTAAACTTACCACAGGTGATTTCTAACGTTAATTCTTTCCGTATCAAAATATTTGGTGCGTTTGAATGTACAATTATTATGTGTGGTAAGCGTATCTCGGGTGATTTCGAACGTTACTTCTTTCCGTATCAAAATATTTGCTGCGTTTGAATGTACAATTATTATGTGTGGTAAGCTTATCTCGGGTGATTTCGAACGTTACGTTTGAATGTACAATTATTATGTGTGGTAAGCTTATCTCGGGTGATTTCGAACGTTAATTCTCTCACAATCAAACTATCCACTATATTTAAAATGGCAGCACAAATATTATGTATGGTAAAATTACCACCAGGTAATTTCTAACGTTAATTCTCTCAGTATCAAAGCTGTTTCCTGTATTTGGCAGCACAAATATTATGTATGGTAAAATTACCACAGGGTGATTCCTAACGTTAATTCTCTCAATATCAAAGCTGTTTCCTGTATTTGGCAGCACAGTTACTATGTATGGTAAAATTACCACAGGGTGATTCCTAACGTTAATTCTCTCAATATCAAAGCTGTTTCCTGTATTTGGCAGCACAGTTACTATGTATGGTAAAA